CACAGTTTGCAAACAGGCAGCAGTGCTACACCCAGAGGGCATTACTGCTCTGGCAAAGGTTGGGAACCCAAGGACCTGGGCTAGGAAACTAAGGCACTTTCTTCCTCACCCACAAAGACCATGGATCCAGTTAGGACTGACTGCAACCAGACAGGACTTCTTTTCAGTATATCTTACCAGGAAAATAACTTTAACCCACATCCTCATGTAAAATCCGGAAGTTCCTAAACAAACAACTTATTTTTAAGCTCTTTGGAACATGCCTTCTGAGTAACAGCTCATTCAGCTTCAGCCAAAGATACTTTGAGAAGCCAATATACGGCTTAAAAACCCGAATGAAGACCAGAAGGAAAAACAAAGGGAAGGAAACCATTTTAACAGATATTCCTAGCACTCCTGAGGAGAGGTAAGTAATGGGAAGTCATGCTTTGACTGGATTAATCATTACCTGTGACAGATCTGCATTCATATTCACATCCGCCCACGTGTCAGAAACATCTGAGTTTATCATAGTTGGCCTCACAGCAATTGTTGGCTTTGAGAAAGGGGAAGTATTTACAACTTCATCTTCCAATGCGGGGCTCTCGGGCTTGGTCCTAACTCCATTCGGGAGCACACTACAAGCTCCCACGTCTGGGGGTGTTTGCAGCTGATGAGAAGTCTTTGGGTTGAAGCAGTTTTTGCAGGAGCCGGGCTTCCAAATGTGTTCCACAAAGTCACTGCACACAGACATCTTCAAATCCTCGTGGCTCAGACTGAGAGCCCTCTGCGTCTTCTGCACTGTCCTCCGCTGCTCATTTTGCATTTGCTCCTCAAAGCCACTCCTAAAGATCACATAGGTATCTGGAAAAGCACAACACTGTCTGATTAGTTTGGGTATGCCCCCAAATGGAAAGATTTTTAATAGGACAGGTGATAATTACACTTTGCCTTCATCACAAAGGCTTATTGTTTACAAGGGGGTTTTTTTCACAGCTTAGTTAAAGCCCACACAATCACTTAAAAAGCTTCAACTTCTAAGCATAGCTCTGTAACAGAGCTAAAACCTCAATGTGTCTCTCTCTCTCATTTTATTTTTTAACTGTGACTTGTATGGTGCATTGTAAAGATTTGTAAATCATCCCCAAGGGGCTTGCCGTGATAACTTCACCACTGGTGCAAGACCAGTGTGTCTGCTGAGTTATACCTGAGGTGGTTTTTAGAGCTTTTATTTTCATCAGCCCCCGAGTATTTTTAGACTGAGGCTGCTCAGGCAAATGAGGAAGTCTGGCAGAAGTTTCTTCCGGGCTTCTCATACACTCTGCTCTCCATGTGGTGGTGTGGACATGAGAGTAAGTGCTTTGTCTGGATGGGGAGCAAAAAATTTCTCAATCTTCAGATAAAAATCACTCATGGCATCTGCTGTGCTTGGAGGTTTTGGAAAAGGAGGGATCCTGTGCGCATGAACAGGGTGCCACAAGAAAACGGTTGTGCATGTCTTTTGGTCTTTTGTTTGTCTTTCTCAGCAGCCATTCAGCCGACTGATTAGGAAATGCCGGATACCTTCCAGCAAGATAGCTGATGGAAGTCCTTTTTCTTTTTTACAAGTCTGCCACTAACTTTTTTACATTCTTAATCAACAATGTGTTGAATTTTATCAGCAGATTGGCAGTTTTACTTAAGAAATGTGGACTGATAACCTTCATTTGCTGGCTGATAGAGAGTTTGAACTGTACCAAAGCTAGGAGTGGTTGTGCTCTGATGTGCTGCCTGATTTCAACAGTTTCTGTTGTTTTCCAAGTAGGAAAAAATGAAGAAAATGCAGGGGAAATACTCCATCTTGGCGAAAGGTCCTGCTTGCCTACAACTGATCATTTAAACTGTGACCTGGCAGGTTATAAGCCCAGTTTATTGATTATTTATTTATTTTTTTAGGTGGAAGCTGCATGGAAAACTGTAGGTCTTACATTAAAAGCTGCATCGTAGGTCCTGAGTTTGGCAGCTACTTGTTTTCTGCACAGGCGCTTCTTCTTTCCAAAGGTGTCAATTGTTACTGTGATGCACTGAGGAGATAGCAGCTGCTAGGGATGGACTCTTCTACCACTTACCCCTCTGTCATGAATGCACTGGGTTCTGACACCCAGCCTCAACCTGCCCTTCTGTAAAACAAGAGGAGTGATGCCACTCGCTTCCCTTGAGAACTTTACTGAAGGCAAACGCTGGTAGGTCCCCACTTCCCAGTGTTGGTGGCCAAGATGGGATGTGGTCCAGGACCCCATGTGTGCTAGGCAAAGGTGGTGCAGACTGGGACTGGATGCTGTTGGCTCAGTGGTTCCCTGCTCAAGCACAGCTGGTTTGTCATGATGGGCTGGCTTGGGGCCTGCAAGCCTATAACCTGCTCAGTGTCAGTGGGATGTGATCCCCAGGTGCCGGAGAAGGAAGAAACTGCCCAGGAATGAGGTGCTGTGGTGTGGTGTGGTAAAAGACTGCATAGTGTCTTTATAGATAGACAGGAACCAAGCGAAAGCTGCTTTTGGCTTGAGTCTCCATGCACAAGTGCATGCAGGGTATCTTTTGCCATCTGTCTCCTGACTCTTCTCTTTCACTCTTTCTAGGAATGCTCTGAAAATGAACCCGAATAATGCTGAGTTGGAGAGGGTCAGCAACAGTTCTGCCGAGAGCCTCAGCCCACCTTTCAGGAGCGTCCATGTCAGCTTCACGGCTGGCTCTACTGACAGCCTCGACTCAGACACACAGACTGGCAGTGATGGCAGTAAGTAGCCATTGGGTGTGGGAGAGGTAACATCAGACCTAAGGAAGGAATTACCTCCATCCTGAGGCCCACTGGTGGGGCAGGATCTTCAGAGCAGGGATCATGAGGGTCCAATCACCTAGTTTCCCCAGCAACGCTTCATCTGTCCACTTCTCCTACCCTTCTGCCTCTTGATGCACTTAGGATGAATGTGGCAGAGTCAGGCTAACATCATGGACTTTCTCCTCTTTTATTTGGCAAGTGCCAAAATCATTCATCCTCTTGTCTGGATAAAACCTCCGTCTGAAAGCAGTTGTCCTTATCCTGCTTGTGCTTCATATGTTGCATGAGATCACAAGTAGCCCTGCCATAGAAAGTCCTCCATAGATTTGAGAAGGACCAGAAGGACTCTTCTGCGAGAGGTGATCTCTCCCTCTCATTGTGTTCCCAGTTATTTCTTGAAGGGGAAAAAATCTGCCTGCACTCGTTTAACTGAGATTAAAAAATACTTACTATGAAGTCACTTTTTTTCATCAGTGCGTAACTCAGACATGCACTAACGTGTTCAGCAGCTCAGAAAGTATTTCCTTCATAAAAGCAACCTTCGTGTAGTGGAAGTTCTGTCTTTCCAAGAGCAACAATGTGCAGCAATAAAATTAAGAGCCAGAGCTCTGGAAACTCCATTTTTCCACTGCTAACTTGGACTCTGAGAGTGATACCATGCCAGGAAATTGTACAGGGGGAAGAAACACTCACATATGTTGGATCTTTACTTGCTGGGCACAGAAGCAATTTGCTGTCAAAAATGGGACAAGAGGATTTCTCTGCCTCCACTAACAGAGGCAACTGTTTCAACTCATCTTGGGAAAGATGAGTTTTTAAATGAATAACTTAAATGCAGTTTTTCTTGCTGATGTAAGCAAGAATCTATGCAGTCAATCACTGAGTGAGGTGGGGTCAAATTAATTGGCTATACTGTCAGATGCTAAAATATGAAGTGAGGGGAGCTTTTAAACCCTTGACATGCAAAAGGCCTCTACTCCAAAGGTGCAGAACACTGTTAAGAAAGTTGTGAAAGGGTTTCATTTGTTAGCCTGTGCTTGGGGCAGAGCTCAGCAGCACATAAAAAAAAGTTTGGCATTTTGGGGATAGGCGTCTGGACCGGTTGCCAAAGCTTCCAGTGCTGACATTTGTTTCATAAGTCTCTGTCAAGTAAATCTTGTCTCTCGAAACGGGGATTCAGCTGCATGTCCTGGCAGAGATGCCTCTGTTGAGTTGCTCTTGGGCTGCATGCTGAAGAATTTCTCTTGCCTGTATTCTCTGTCAAAGCCCCTTGGACTTTAAGTAGCAAGAGATGTCATGCTGAACAATCCCTGCCTGTGGGTTTTGACAGTGTTTTAACGGAGTCGATCTTTCTTATGGACCTGGCAGTGTGTGGTGCAGATGCCTGTGTCTTCATTTAAGCTTGGGGCATGCATCTCTGTTGAGCTCTGGGCTCCACAGTTAACTGTGCAGCTGCAGAGTGGCTGAAACTGGAGAGCAGTCAATTGCTCAGCAACTGGGTGTACAGTGCAGGCAGACACCTAGGGCAAGGGCCCAACAGGAGTCAGATAGCTCTGCACCCAGGAACTGGGGCAAAAGAGATGTGTGATGATTCACAACATTTTCTCCAGAGCTGTTTCTGAGCATGTTGTCAGAAATGGGGTGCCAAAACTGCCTTGCATAGGAAGCTCATCTTCTGCAGAAGCTGAAATCAGTGCTGCTCATTCCTGGCATGTCTCCCAGTGCTGTTGCTTGGGATGGGGTATACTGCAGCAAGGAGCATACAGGCAGCCTTGGCAGTGGAGCAGACAAATGCAAATTGATATCATGCTACCAAACACTCTGCTGGGGAGGGACTGGCATCCACTCTAGTAGCTGAGATGTAGGGGACCTGCCCTCACCTTGTGCAGTCTCAGATGGTGACCAGTCTGGCACAGCCAGTATGGCTTCTGCACCTGCACGTGACATGCCAGGACAGACTGGGAGCTCAGGGATCTGAGCCCCTGAATGGAGGTTGTGTGTGGGAGCTGGGGAGTCACTAGGGTTGTGACAGAGACAAGTGCCTGCTATGGGCTGACATGCAACTGCCCCAGGGTGTTCCTGTGGAGCAAGCAGAAAGCCACTGTGAGGAAGTGCCTGCTGTCAGCTGAACCCTCGCCAGCAACCTTGTGAGGAGGAAGGATGGCTTGCTATCTCTCTGCAGCTTTGGAAGCGGGGTTCAAAGAAAACAATAGATCCCACTATCTGCTGAGCTTGCTTGGAGCAAAATCCCATCGTGCACCTTTCAAAGTCTACACTTGCATGAAAGGTGTTAGCAGAGCTCAGGTTTATCAAGAGTCCTGCCTGTCATTCAAGTGGTGTGGAAAATTCCCTGAAATAATTATGTCTCTTCTTCTAATTTCCCCTGAAGACTCCTCCACTCCTCATTCGTTCTGTCTTTGTGACCTAAAATTATTGCTATTTGTTTCAATGTCAAATCATCTTTTTTTTCCTTTTTTTTCTTTTTCCCCTTCCCCTTCTTCCATGACATGCAACTGTATTACCTGTCTCCAGTCTGGCCAGGGTATAAGAACAGCTGCCTAGAATGAGCCAGCCATCCCAACCCAATCCATGTGCAGGTGGCATATGGAGCTGCTTGGGGTTTAGGGTATGTAGTGGGGCCAGGCTGCTCTCTGAACAAAGACGTCTGGCAATAAGCTAGGGGATAGGCAATGGAGGGAAGCCTTGATTTTTTTTGGGAGGATGGAAATTGCCAAAATCCCAGACCTTGCCTAGTGACCCTTACTAAGTGTGAGGCGGTGACAGGTTCGATGTATTTCTTGGGCTGCTCTTGTATGGCCAGAGGGCCAGAGCCGTGCAGTGTGAGTCACTCCTTATCACTCTGTGCTGCTGAAGCACTGGGTGGCAGCTCCCATGTGAAAGAGGCTGTGTTTAAGAGAGATTGTCCTCATATCCCGAATGCTTCGTTCTTATTTCCTTGTGGATGATGTCACAGCTTAAATATTTACCCTCTACTAGCTTTTTACTACTGTAAGCAATTCAATGGGGAGTGGTTTCAGATGGGGTGGGGGGGGGCATTTCTCTAGATGGCTGGTTGCAGCCTGCTTTGCAAGCCTGCTGTATTAAACTGGTTTAAATCCCTTCAGTGAAGCTTTGCAATTGTGAATAGACGAGGACTGTGTGCTGGGTTCAGAGGTGCATTTCCTTGTATCAGAGGTAACCTGGCTTGCTGCATTGTTCCCAGCCAGGACCCTGGGAGAGGTAGCCTGTGGGGGTGGCAGGGACATGGAGAGGGACCTGTGCTCCCAGCCCGCAAAGGCCACTCATGGCATCTTCTTGTGTGTTGCTGTCTCCTAGGGCGCTCGTCTGAGCCGAACCACTCACCCCCTCCAGCTGAGAGCCAAGTGTTTCCCCCTGTCCCTTTCCTTCCAGCCTCTGGTGAGGATGGTCCCTCCTCTGCCCCCAGCTGCCCACCCCCTCTGCCCCAGAAGAAGACAGTGAGCAGAACAGTGTCCTCCCCAGATGGCTTTTTTGGGGGACAGGCATCTTCAGGCAGAGCAGCTGGTGCTGCCAGCCCCAGACTGAATGTCAGCCACTCTGAGAGCAATGTCTGCCTCCAAGAGGAGCCTCCCTTCATCCACCCGGCTGGCCTGGGGGGCCGCCCTGGCACCTTCTCCTCCTCTGAGTCCCTGGAGAAAGGCTCCAAAGGAAATGGCTACTGGGGCTCAGCCACTGGCAAAAGCACAGGGGCTTGCATCCCCAGCAGAAACCTCCAGTCCCTTTCCTCCTCACAGCTCAGTGTGTCCAGCCAGGTGTCATCAGGCTCCACCCTCCAGCTCCACAACCTCCTGAGCAACATTGACAGCAAGGAGGGGGTGTACGCCAAGTTGGGGGCCCTCTACGCCGAGTCCTTGCGCCGCCTGGTTGCCAAATGTGAGGACTGCTTCATGCGGGAGCAGAAGAATGAGCTGCACTTCAGTGAGAACAACTGGTCGCTCTTCAAGCTGGCATGCAACAAGCCCTGTTGTGATTCAGGGGATGCGATATATTACTGTGCCACCTGCTCCAAGGACCCTTCTACCACCTATGCTGTGAAGGTAAGCCCACACCCAGGAGGTATCCAGGGTTATCTCCATCTTCCAGCTGGGAGGATGATGCAAAGAGCTGCAGGGTCCAAGGCTGTGTGGGAGTCCATAGGTGAGCTGGGACTGAACCTTCGAGCTGCTTTTTCCTCCCTTCTGGTGTATGGATTTAAATGAAAGAGGGGGAAGCAGGCTTAGTGCTATGCCTTTGAGAAGCACCATCAGCACACGATGGCCTGTTTTCTCTGTTTGCCTTTCTCATGGGTGAAGTTTGGCAAGCAAAACCTCTTCCAAAATTGCCACTTTTCCCCTACTGCTTGCAAGGGTTAATTTGGAGTAGTTTTTGTTCTAACTGCTGCCAGTTAGATGCTTATTGCTGCAAACTAGTAGGGTCTGAAACCCAACCAGTTTCTCTCAAAAAATCTTTGTGCAAACACTCTGTTGCAAACTCAGAGGCATTTGCCTCTGATGACACAAGGTGATGAAAGCCTGTCCAAAAACCAGCATTTTTGCCTCTGCCTGCCTTTCAAGTGGAAGGTCTGACCCAGAAACCATGAGACTGCTTATATGATCCTGAAACTACAGGCATTAAAGATATTGCAGATCTTGATTAAACAATGCGAGGCTGACCCAGACATGCTGTGTAAGGGCAGCTCTGAAATATTTTCCTGTAACTCCATGGAATCTATGTTTGAAATGGAAATTTGAGGTGCAATAGTTCAGTTCTTTGAAACCTGGATAAGTAAGCTTATCCATCCCGTTCTGTGGACATCCCATGGATTTTCAGTTCTTGACCCATATTACTACTTGAATACAGAGCCTTTAATTTCTGTTCTGACTTAACCCTAGGGGCATATCATTGTTGCTTACTTTTCAGGTTGTTTTCAAAACCTAAAGTAATTCCCAAAAAAGCACTGTCAGAGATGCATTAAGCAGGAAAAAAAACCCCACACACAACAAAAAACCCTCTACTGAATCGTTTCCATGATTATGAACCCCAAGGGGATGTTTTAGTTAAGTGATAGCTTTAAAGCCAGTTCATACTCTAAAGGAAATATGGTCAACCCAACAGGAGGGCTGTAAATAACCTGAATGGAGTTAGATGAGATCTTGCACCAGTACCCCTAGTCCAACTTTCCTCCTGAAACCTGAGAACTGTGTGGTGAACTAACTGGTGTGCTCCTTTTCAATCTGCGGTTCCCTGCGGCACGCACACACCTTTGCTTTTGCCTGCCATGTTAGGTGGGGTTCAGCGGCTCGGCTCTATGGCTGTAGTGCCTGAATTCTTGCCAAGGCAGAAACAGCACATTTCAATCTCTTAATGGGACTGCAGTTGTGCCCCTGCATGTGATGTGGGCTTGCTCTGTGCTCTTGGTACACTGCAGAGCGCCTTAACAAAGACAAAACCACTCCCAACAGGGCCATAGTCTGTGCCAGTGTAAAATGAAGTTGTGCATGTGTTTACACTTGTGTGTCTATACACCTCCTGCAACGTTCCTGTGTGCCACCTTCTTTTTGGTAGCCAAACTAGAGAATAATTGTGAAAATTTACAACTGGCTAATTCCTGGCTTCTGGTACAGATTTTCTGACATGAAAGAGATCACAGACCTGTAGTTAAAATTAGACTTGAAGAACTCAAAATGGGCAGAGGATCTGACTTCAGCCAAGGAGACTGTTGAGGAGCAGGAGCCAGTTTGGGCTGTGCACAGGCAGACATGGCTTACGTATAAAACAGTTAGGAGCCAGGCTTACATGAAATGGCTTTAGAGGAATTAAGCCAAGATACACTCCACGCATTGGCTTCTTTCTTCACTTAAAAGATGCGTGACTAAGCCAGCCCCAGGCTCCTACTTGGGGCTTGTTGCATGGAGGATCCCTCTGGTACAGCCAAAGTCATGAAGAATGGCTGGCCAGGGAAGATATCCCTGTCTTCGTTTGGTTGCAGTTATTCTCCCAGAGACTCCTCTCTCACAGGACTTCCTCCCCCTTTTCCTCAGCCTTACCACATGTGTGGGAGGAACAAGCAGGCTTGTTCAGCAGAGGGCTGGAAGGTCTCCTCTGCCTTTGGGGTTGGAAGGGCTCCTTTGCCTGTGTCCTGCTGCATTAATCTGCAGTCTGATTAGCTCTCCAAAGCTTGTCTTTCCATAAAATAAGCATGCAGCCATGGCAGGGTATTTTTATTTAGAAAAGGGAGGACAATAGGGATTTGAAATGCCCAATCTCCACAGTATAGTCTCATCTGAGTTAATTACCTGCAAATGCCTAGATTCAGACCCTTGCTACAAAAGAAGCCCACTTCTCCAGCCCCTCTCTATTCTTGCATTTATTTTAACTCAGAGGCAAAATTGATTTCTTGTCCGATTTTGCACGCATGCTGTGACTGGCAGTTGGCATGCTCCAGGGTTTGAAACCTTTTATGCTGAGTTTCAGCCTGTTGCTGATTCCTGTGGGTGAGCTATAAATAAATCACTAAATTTTTTTTTTTAAAGTGTATAATAGAAATGCCAGAAGGCCCCATCCATAAGCTAATGGATACTCTTTTATAATAAACTTGAGCTTGAGTTTATTTAGTCTTTAATGCAGTTATAAAGCTAAAATACAGAACAAAATGAAGATAAGTCATGTGGGTTTAAGAGAATCCAGATTATAAAATGCCTTTTTCCCTTGAGTTTGCTGTACTTTCACTTATTTCTAAACCCTTTGTTAGCTTCCACTTTCTCTCTGGTGTTTTTTTTCCCTGTGCTCATAAGTACAGCTTGTTGCTAGTTCCTTGCTTCTTCTAAGCTTGTTGCTTAGCCATTGATCAAGGGTTTTCAGAGTAGTGGCTGATACAAGGAGTGGAGTGGTTGGGGAGGATGTGAAAGTGGCTCCAGGGCTTAGGACCAGAGGAGGGTTAGGTGGGAAGAAAGTGCTGGAGGTCTCTGTCCACCCCTCACCCCAAACAGGGCCACCCTCGCAGCCACATCACATCGCACAGGGCCTCATCCAGGTCCTCCATCCAGAGATGGAGATGGCACATCTTTTGGCACAGGTTTTGCTTTTCCCTCTGCAGAATATGTCCTGGGTTGCAGGGGAGAATCTTTGACATCCGTGATGTAAAAGCTATGTCATTTCTGTTAGCAGTGAAACAAAATCTCCAGAAGTTACTCATAGGAGGACTACCGTCCTCCTTTCTGGTAAATACTGGGCATTGCCTGGAAAAGGAAGCATGCCCAGAAATGCAACCCAGACATCTGGTTACCAAGGTTGGGGTGTTGCAGGACAAGAAGATCCTCAAGCCAGGAGATAAGGTACTAAAGGGGCCAGTGCACTGCTTCTACTGATGTTTTCCTTAGCATCTGCAAATCTCAGTTTAGGAACGCATCTCTGAACTTCTGGTCTCTGCCCTGTCTCTATCACTGGCTGATGAGACTTTTCTTTTGGTCTCTCCTCACAGATCTGTAAAACGCAGGAGTCCAAGGTGGCTGCTTCATACTGCAGCCCTGCAGTGCCAGTCCATTTCAACATCCAGCAGGACTGTGGGCATTTTGTGGCCTCTGTACCCTCCAGCATGCTGCTGGCCTCAGATGTGGGGAAAAGCATGCCTGGGGATGGCCTCCATCCCTCCCGCACTGCCAGTGAGCATGACTGTGTGGTGGTCATTACCCGGGAGGTGCCGAGCCAGACCACTGCCGACTTTGTGAGGGACTCAGTGGTGTTGCACCAAGCCAAGCCTGAGCTGTACGAACGTCGCGTTTGCTTCTTGCTCCTCCAGCTCTGCAATGGCCTGGAGCATCTCAAAGAGCATGGCATCATCCATCGTGACCTGTGCCTGGAGAACCTCCTGCTTGTCCCCTGCAAGCCCCCCATGAGCTGTGTGAAAGCCAAAGATGACAAACACTTACCCCGCCTCATCATCAGCAATTTTTTGAAAGCCAAACAGAAGCCGGGAACTGGAGACTCCAAACTGAAGAAGAGTCAGGCCCGGCTGGCCCCAGAGATTGTGTCAGCTTCTCAGTACAAGAAGTTTGACGAGTTTCAGACTGGTATTCTCATCTACGAGCTGCTGCACCAGCCCAACCCCTTCGAGGAGAAGGTGCACCTCAGGGAGCAGGAGTACAGTCCTGAGGACCTCCCTGCTCTGCCCAGCCTGTCCATCTACTCCCGGGGGCTCCAGCAGCTGGCCCACCTGCTGCTAGAGGCAGATCCCATCAAGCGTGTGCGGATCACTGAGGCCAAGCGGATGCTGCAGTGTCTACTTTGGGGGCCCCGGAAAGACCTCACCGAGCAGCCCCTCAGCCATGAGGAAGCCCTCCGCCGGGTGCTTCAGAACTGGGTGGACATGAAGCGTGCCCTGCTCATGATGAAGTTCGCAGAGAGGGCTGTGGACACAGAGCGGAGCATTGAACTGGAGGACTGGCTGTGCTGCCAGTACTTAGCGTCTGCTGAGCCAGCCTCCCTCTCACACACATTAAAACTGCTGCAGCTGCTCTGACCTTGGATGTGTCTCGGACGCAGCTGAGGGCTCCTGGTTGCCTTGTGGCTAAAGGTACACAGCCCCTTTCTATGTCAGAAGCTTGAATTTCAGCTGCGAACTCACTATCAGCTGCCCCACACTCCAATCAGAGTGCACAAGACATGTTTAGTACCCTCCGCACTGTTAGTTTGAAAGCGGGCAAAACGGAACCTACCCCTCTTTAGGGGGATTTTTTTTTTTTTTTTTGGTGTGGTAAGTCTGTGGACTAATAAACTCCTGCCTGCGTGTGTGCATGTTTCTAATGAACTCAACCTATGTGAGTTGATTTCTGCATTTGTGGGACAGTCCTTTGATCCCCACCTCCCAGAAAGCATCAGAGCCTTTTTGCCTGGGAACACCACCGCTCTCCAGAGTGGGTGGCAGGGATGAAGGGTTGGCTGCTTCTCCTGGGGAGCAAGAGCAGTTCATGTAATGCTCCTTTGCAAGGGAGAAGCATGAGGGGCTTTTAAATTCACATATTTAATGGTTTTGGCATCCATTTTGCTTCTCATTTTAAAAACAAAAATTATGACTTGTTTCTATGTATCAGCTGTATTTTCCACTGTGGACGATACAATTTCAGCTGCCTATTACCTTTGTTAGATGCTAATACAGCATGGCTTTCCTGTCTAGTGGTGCAGCTGCGCAGGCTGTTGATTGTGAAAGGGTGAGAGAGAGCCCAGGATGGCTCATGAGGATGATGCTGCTGCATGCTGGGAATTACCCCTTGTAAAGTTAATGAAATGGAAAATCCCCAATTTACCTCCAAGGCCTTGGGAGGGAAGTCAGGGCCAGGTTGCTCTGCTTTCCCCCCTTCACCAGGTAATTGACCTGTCCCTTGTGTCTAGCATTTATTTAACCCCTTTATTGAGAGGTGAGCTGGCATGTGAAAGAGGCCAGGGCCACTGGCCTGTGGTCTGGGAGGGTCTTATTGCTGCTGGTGTTTGAATTAGAAATGCATAGGGCTGGGTGCACTACGAACATGCTTCTCCAACAGATGAGCTGTAAGAGCAGCATGATGGAAGAGGGAGAAGCTGGCCTGGCTCCCTCCAGCCCCTTTCCCTCCATCCAGACATATAGCAGCCACTCAGCAGGCTGTGCTGCTGCTCAGAAAAACTGATTTTTCCAAAAGGTTGTGGGCTGCTTTTACTTTTCCACCCCAACACAAGGCAGAGATGAGCAACCTTGCTCCTGGCACCAGTTCTGCAGCCTTTGGAGAAGGGGTAAGTTTGGGACATGTGGAGAGAGCCCAGTGTCAGTTTAGCTGAGACAGGATGTCACTAGCTGAGCTACCCCTGTCCCAGCTCAAAACAGGGAGAAATTCATGACCACCTTCCCCTAGTCTTGATTCACCCCAGCCTGCTCTTGTGGAGGAATTTTAATTCCCCATGTTTTGTGACACTTCATATACTTTCTGTGAATATCTTCCAGGCTTCTTACCTGGATTTTTTTAATCTGTTTGGCTATGGTTGCTGCTGATGGGAGGGGATGGTTCCTTGGCTGGGCACCCATTTGCAATGAGTTTCTCCTGATCCCCTTAGGGAGGAGGCTGTGCACGTCCCTGCCTGCTGAAAGAATGTGGGATGGCTACAACTGTGGCCGCTGGGGATTTTTATATACACTGGCTTCCTTGCATCTGACTCTTGGGTCCACTTCCCTCCAACATAGGTGGCAGGAACCTTGGCTTGGGAACCACTGTCCCATGGACCATCCTGGATACATCGTCCTGGAAAGCCTGGCCCTGATGCAATTGCTTTCACATGAGCCAGCGGAGTGATGAAACAGCTGGAAAACCTGCCTGAAGGAGCCCAGCATGTTTTTCAGAGATAAGATGAAGAGATGACTCAGTTTATAAGCATGGATATAGGGAACAGTTGGGGGCAGCTCTGCAGGACAGCACTGAAGGAGTTAGGGCCTGGCCATGACAAATCCAAGCTGTGCTTGGCAACAGGGAGATTATATGTGGGGCAAAATGGCTTGCAAGGCTTGGGCTGGTACCCAGTGGGAGTCAAGAAGTAGCCAAACATCCAACCAACCCACAAAACCCAAGGCTGGATCCATTTTGCATGCTGAGTTTCAGTTTAGTGACAAACACTGATACAGGTGGTGTTGCAGGGCCTGCACAGTGTGGGATGTTAAGCTGATCAAAATTTTTCCCTTGAGTCTGGGCACTTAAGACTGCCTCTGGTGTTGGTCCTGGTAACCTGCAACAGCATGCCCAGCAGAGTAAAGGCCAACAATAGTATTGTAGCATTTTCAGCTGTATTATTTTGAGATTTGGTGGGTGGTTTATTACTCTCATATAAACAGAAACTCTTAGCTCCAAGCTTTCCTGATACCTTCTCCTATGGTAGCTCATGCTGCTTCTCCAGCCTAAATAGTCCTAGGTCAGTGCATGAACTGGAGAAGTACATTAGGGTTTCTGCTGTGTATCTTTGTGGGGAAGCGACACCTGAGCCTTGGCTGAGTGCTGCAGCTGAGTCCAGGGACTTTGCTGGCTTACTGTCCCTTGCCTGTGCTGTCCTCAGCACACCATAGGCAGTAGCCCCCCTTTTATTAGCAGGCGTTCTTGCCCCCATGCCCAGGATCCTCTACGAGAATGGTGGAGTGAATGGATCATCCCTCTTCTCTGTGTGGTGGGGGACACAGATGACCCTACACTCTGGGGGCCAAGCATGTCACCCACTTGGTGGAGGGGTGGGTATTGCAGAAGATGTCTAATTGGGAACACAGTCTGGGGTCCACATGCAACAGTGGACAGTGCTGAGGAGCAATTGCTAGAGAAACACCACAGACCCATGCATCTCTGTAGTACTGCTGGGTGGGGAAAGGGGTGTTTCTTGTGCTACCCCCAGACAGACTGCCAGCCTCTTTCCCTGTGCCCAGGCTCCCAGTGGTCTGTGTGCACAAGAAGGGTGGCAAAGCAGCTCTCTGCCAGTGCCTGCTCTCACCATGGAGGACAGATAACCAGAAGCTGCACACAGTTCCTGACTGGTTCATTTGTAGCATGGATGAGCTTGGTGGGGAGGTTGTGTGCTTCCTGTGTGAAATGAGGCTGAGACCCAAAGCCCCAAGACAAACACTGGGCAGGCAGTGCTGCTAGAAGCCCTCTTGCCCAGTGGTCTGGTGACCTCGCATCTCTGCTTCAGAGCATCTCTTTGAAGCTGGGGGATATGCCAGGAGTGAAAACCTACCTGGTTTTCCACAGATGCTGTTATATGAGATTGCTTGGCCAACAACAGTTCTCACCCTGCATGCTCACATGTGCAGGGACAGACCCCACCATCTACACAGGTTAGTCCAGGACAAGCTCAGTTCTGTTTCAACTTGAGAGGTGGGCCTGTGCAGACCTCGTGAAGTTCAACAAGGCCAAGTGCAAGATTCTACACATGGGTCAGGGCGAGCGATCTCAAGCACAAATACTGGCTGGGTAATGGTGGATTGAGAGCAGCCCTGTGGAGAAGGACTTGGGGATATCAGTGGATGGAAAACTGACTATGAGCCAGCAATGTGCACTCACAGCCCAGAAAGCCAACTGCACCCTGGGCTGCATCCGGAGAAGTGTGGCCAGCAGGAATAGGGAGGGGATTCTCCCCCTCTACTCCATTCTCCCAAGACCTCACCTGCAGTGCTGTGTCCAGCTCTGGGGCCCCCAACATAAGAAGGACATGGACCTGCTTCAGCGGGTCAGAGGAGGCCATGAAGATGATCAGCGGGCTGGAGCACCTCCTGTATGAGGACAGGCTGAGAGAGTTGGCATTGCTCATCCTGGAGAAGAGAAGGCTCCAGGGAGACCTTATACAGCCTTCCAGTACTTAAAGGGGGCCTGGAGGAAAGATGGGGAGGGACCCTTTATCAGGGAGTGTAGGGATAGGATGAGGGGTAGTGGCTTTAAACTGAAAAAGGGTAGATTTAGATTAGATATAAGCAGGAAATTATTTATTGTAAGGATGGTGAGACACTGGAATAGGTTGCCCAGAGAAGCAGTGGCTGCCCCCTCCCTGGCAATGTTCAAGGCCAGGTTGGACGGGGCTTTGAGCAGCCTGGTGTAGTGGAAGGTGTCCCTGCCCATGGCAGGGAGGGTGGAACTAAATGATCTTTCCAACCCAAACCATTTTATGATTTTATGATTCTATGATTCTTGGCAAGCAGCAGCAGCAGTGCAAGGCTGTAGGAGAGGGGAAGGATGCTGCTGCAGGAAGTCCAGAGCAGGCAGAGCATGGAGAAGCTCTCAGTCTCCACAGCCACCAGGATGTAGGCAACTATGAGCTGCGTGAAGACCCAGGTTGTGCCACGATAGAGGAGCTTCACACCCTGGCAGGTGGCCCAGGCACTGAGGAAGGGATGGATGCGGTAGTCAGCCTCCACCATGACAGCCCAGCACAGGAAACCAAAGAGTTGCCCCGGCCGGAGGCCATGCCACCAGGCAGAGAAGGCAAAGGTGGCTAAGAGCGGCTGGACTGGGCAGCGCTGGAAGACAAGTCTCCTCAGCCAGCGGGACGTGCTCTTGTTCCAGGTCCGGGTGAAGACAGCCAGGCGGTGAGTGGTCTCTAGCGTCCACAGGTCGTGGATGGAAAGGTCTCCCTGGCCCACCTCTGGTGTGAAGCCCGCTGTCTCGAGGAGGGCCTCATCCAGCACCCAATGCACATAGTAGGCCAGTCTGAGAAGCAGGGCCTGTGCCCAGACGCGGGGCAGGCAGCCCAGGCCAGCGCAGCCCTGCCTGCTGGCCAGCCCACCTGCCAGCCCCGCACGCAGCCCCTGCAGGGCCACTGCACCGAGGCACCGCTGGCCGGCGGCCCTCAGCGGGTGGGGGAGAGCACCGCAGGACTCGATCTGGGCCTGAAACCTGCTGAAGGAGCACAGAGGACCTCCGAGGAGGGCTGGGAAAAAGAGCAGGTAGCTGCAGAGGGGCAGCGCACGCTGCAATAGCCCCTGGCCCAGCTGGAGCGGCACGAGCCCTTCATGGATGTCCAGGGCCAGAGACGTTGCCTTCTGGGTGAGCAGCATGATGGCAGAAAGGGCGATGGCTGGCCTGGAAGGAGAGGGCACCTGATAGCTGCTGGAAGTCTTGTGCTAGAGCTTGTGTGGGGGTTGTCTCATGGGGTGACTTTGGTAGTTTAGGGGGGAGGTAGTTTAGTGTAAAATGCTAGCTTTGGGAGGTGGAGATCGAGGTTTAAGTCCTCTTTTTCTGAGGTATTTGGTGAAACTCTAAGAAGGTGGTAGTCTTCATTCTTTGGTTTACAAGACCAAATTTTTTTGTAAACTATTAGAGTGTCTTAGTAGTTGAGTATTTTATTTTCTAAAGTCCTAATGATGGGAAAGGGGATGAGGAGGGAGGTGAAGTAACGAGGGAGGCTAGTTGGCTGATAATGATGAATGGGTGTTCTATTGGTTGGCTGCCTACTCATGTTAGAATGAGGAAGTTGGCAATTAAGGTTCAGAACACAAGTTGGGAGAGGGGGGCAGAATGTTATTGTATGTTGCTTGCATTTACAGAGGAGGGGGTCCGAGAATAGGACTAATACAGAGGCTGCTAAGGCTAGTACTCCTCTAGTGCTGAAGGGAGCATTAGAGGTGCAGGCACAAGGCTGCACACAGGAGATGTGCTGTCCCACGTCCCCCGAGCACTGCCATGCCTGAGTCACCACACACGGGGATGCAGCCTGAGCCAGAGGGGAGACCAATCGCTGTGGAACAGTGAGCCAGTGCAGCCCAAGGAGGGTCCTCCACCCTCACAAAACGACCAGGAGGGTCCCCAGCCCGGTGAGGAGAGGAGCGTGAAGGAGGCAGAGTGTGGGGGTTACCTGGCATCCTGCGGATTCAGCTCCTGGCTCCTCAGACCCAGGTGGCAGAGTGTCTGCCAGAACATCTGGAGGGCGAAGACCCAAGTGTGGGCATGGGCTGGGCTGACGGAGAGGAGAATGAGCACGGAACCAGCAACAGGGATGAGGAGCAACACGGCGTAGCTGCCCATGGCTGTACCAGCAAGAAGACATCCTCCGGTGAGGAGGAATATGTACCTAGAAGAGACCAGATGCCCTTTGGCTGCCTTTTGGGGAAAAAGGGACACGAAATTCCTGCCAGGGTGTTGACAGTGGGACTTAGTCTGGGTCCTGCAGCCTCCACAATCCTCCTGTAGTCTGCTTCTTGTCCTCTCAGGGGGCTGAGGGATCACCAGGGCCATCGTGACTGAAAGCAGGAATGGAGAGGGGACTGAGGCAGATATTGCTGGGCCTGCCTGGCCATCATCCTAGTCACACCAGAGACAGTCCCCATTCCCTGCCCTGCTCTTCTTGCCCACGTCCTCATCCAGGTACACCCCTAAACCCACCTCTCACAACACCGGAGTGTCTGGCCTGGCTGTTTTGTCCTTAATGACCTTGATCCTGCCCCACTGCAGAGAGGGGGGACTGAGAACAGCTCACATCCCAGCCATACAAACATCCCTACCCAAGTCATCAGGAACTTACTACCATGTGTCCCGTTGTACCTCTGATCAGGAGAGCCCCCAGAAAGCATCCACAGGCATGACTTGCCCTTGGTGCGGCAGCAGGAGTGATGACCACGTACCGGGCAGTCAGAGAGAGGTGCCCCGAAGCACAGAGGTGGTGGAAGAGAGCAGCGAAGGGGAAAGCCACCAGCCGATACGGGGCTGCATGGAGAAGGACAAGCAGATCTGCCCAGCGCATTGAGCACCTTGCTTCTTCAACTGCCTCTGAGGCCTGGGGAAAGAACTGAGCCAAGAACTGCTCTGGCTCCTCTTTATATGTGGCAGGACCTCAAAAAAAAACAGAGCAGAGCCAAGGAAACAGAGGTATCTGCAGGAAAAGGAGCATGTTTTTTGCATTCGTCAGTGCTGACTCCTTCGAGCACCTCTGTCCCAAGGTTTGTGTGCAGGTGGAAAAAGTTGGGGTTGGTTATTTGCTCTGTCAGACGCCTGGGCCATTACCACATACTTTGAAGACAGCGAGAGTGAGCTGCCAAGATAAGAGCCTCTTTGAGCTGCCACATGTGCCATGCTGGGATGCACCTCAGAGCAAAATCGCCAGGTACTTCTAGAGTCTTGGTCCTTTCTCTTTGCTTCGTCTCAGCTCAGTCCCTCACAGAAAGCTGTGGATTTTTCCCAGAAGACTTGTTATGGGGTAGTGGTGGGGACTTGCCAGTATTTAAACCCCTGGTCACAGAAAGGAGAGGATGAGTTCTGCCACTTCTCAGTGACGAGGGAGGGTGAACCCCTCAACCCCACCACCCAGACCAAGCTACAGGGTGTTCTCATTTACCAGAGATAAAGGAATAGCTCTATTCTGTCCCAACAATTTTTCTTCAAGTAAATAAAGATATGTAAAGTATAATCAGGTAAAAAATATGGGCTCACAGATATACTTGTGATGGTAGAAATGTGTCATTGCACTTAAACTGTTTGTGCATCTATTCAAAAATGTGCCCTATGAGAAAATGAAAGGTTCTCTTTCAGGCCAGATTTGATAGGTGATTTGAAGAGTCATCTCTGGGGTGACATGAATGAAGCCAGTTGCTGATGCTCTCACAATGCCACCAGCAGTATTTCATACTAAACAGATAAAAAATCCTGAGAAAATCAATCTACAGTTCTCAGCTCTTCTTCATGAGATGCAGCTGAGAAAAAATAGACAAATTCAAATGGAAAGCTCATGGACTTTTTAAAAAACTCAGTTGATACCAGCTTTATTTTAGGCATATGAACAGTGTGAATGCAAAGAGGAATACCCTGGAATTTCCTTCTGGAAGAAAAAAAAAAAAACATATTGGAGGGGTAGAAGTAAGGTTTTTCCCTTCCTGTGATGAATGCTTCAAAATATTTAGACTAGCCTGTTTTTCAATAAAAAGAGCAAAATTGTTGCCTAAAGATACGGAAAGAACTGTGGTCATTAAAAAAAGTAATTTTTATTTAAAAATATATATATCAAGTCTGACTTTTATGAATGCTACTCTTCACTGAGCTTTTCAAGTTATTGTAATGTTGGAAAGCTTACTGCATTGTTTGGATGAGTTATTTGGTTTTAAGAAGGCAGGGGACCAAAACCCCATGGAAAAAATTATTAGCGCAAATACTGCAGAGAAACCAGCTGTATTTTGCTGTATTTGCGCAGAGTATATTTTAAGAGCAAGTGGTAGCACCGGAGAGAAGCTTTTTCCATGTCAGTTTTGGCTTGCATGGCATGCAGCAAAAGCCTGGTTCCACAGGATTCATTCTGCCAAATCCATAGAGCCCAGTATTGACTTTGCTGAGTAAATATTTTTGAAGGCCTTTGCAAGTGCCCACTTAAGCAATTCTCTGCTATGGTTCTGCAAAAATGGTGTTGCTTTTCAAGAAGCAGCAATGAATTTCCACAGTAGCATTGGAAATGTTAACACACTGCTCATGCCTCTCATTTTATACCGTCAGATGCTGGGTGATGGAAGTGTGTTCTTAGAGCAAGCATATGAGCCATAGTGAAGCATGTGAGAGAGCATTATTTGCTTCATTTGCACGTACTAAATAAACAACAGCCTGGTTCCTGGCTAAGGAATTAATTGTTTGGTAATACAGCAGGTGAGAAGAGCAGGCTGACCACTATCAGAGCAAACTATGGGCATGAAATTTGAGCAGGCGTGACTCTCATACTAGCTTTGGGCTAGTATCCAGAAAGTTTAGAGCTGCTTTCTTGGTGGAATACAGTGCTGTTTGGGGAACAGTTTTGGTTGCCTGTTATGCACCCTATACTGATCTGCTGCAGGGCACACTGCAAAGTGAAAGACGTACATTGAAAGCAAAAAAGTTACTTTAAAGAAAAAGCACATAAATTGGAAGGGAAACCATTAAATAGTGTTCAGGAGGCCTGAAGTCTGTCCCAGACTTGCTCTGTGTCCTTAGGAAAGCTGCTTAACTCCCATCCACAACAGCGAGATGATAGTTTGTGTCTTCCTGTGGTGTTATAGGGCAGAATCAACCACAAACCTTGGGACCATATGTCTGGGTGAGATAGGCAGGATGTGAAAGTACCTAAATGAGAAAGGAATTAAGAATCAAATGCAATGGATTATTAAGGCACAAATGCGAAAATCCTTCCTTTATTTTCAGGCGATAGTCCCACCCTGGCTTTTTGCGACTTGTTGCCATTTCAGATTTGCTGATCACTGCTTGTGGCAAAGGCCCTTTCATCTCCCTGGATAAAGGGCCATGTGCCAGTAGTTTAAGGATAGTGCGAAAGTCTCTGATTGCAGCCATGATCCTGCTCATGGAGGTCTGAAGTTGTGCCTGGGGAAGATTCTCATGTAATTTTTTATATCTTCTGTGCTTCTCAATGCCCAAATCAGTAATATAAGTGTAGTATGTTAACTGGCAATAAATTAAGTGAAATTTCTGCAAGTCACTTTCTTGCCTGCAATATGGCCTTGGAACTCTTGAACTCAGCCACATCAGCTGAACTTAGTGGTGGGTGAGGGGGCAGCCCTGTGCACTTCCCCTCTGCCAGCAGTGGCAAAAGAGGTGACTTATTTTCCAGGCAGAATCCTATTAGTAGCTCCTTTTTCTCTTTTGGTGTTGAGACCAAGGCCAGATGGAGATGGATCCTCTGGTACCCCCAAAGGTTTGGGGACATTTAGAACAGGGACTGACATCACTGGAGACCGTTCCCTGTGCTGGTTCCCCTCAACCTCACCACAGAGCTCCTGAGACAAGAGGTATGCAGCTCCAAGGACCATGCGCAGTAGCCAGTGATGGGGAAAAAAGGCTGCATGCTCTTCCTTCCCCTTCCATCTCCTTTCACATGATATTCAAGCCCCACAGAGAGCCGGTTCTTGTCCTGGCACCTCCTTTTGGAGGTGGCAGGAGCAGCTACAGCTTTTCTGATCCCTGGTATGAACCAGCAGCTTAACTGGTGCTTTGACTCAGAGATAAAGTACCTGGGTATGATCTGCATTGCCACTGGCTGCTGGAAAGAGTGGATGTCCTAACGCCCTCAGGATGATCATGATTCCTTTGTGGCTGGGTTTTTTAACCTTTTAGCTTTCACAAAGAACAGACACTACCATATGCTGAAGAAGAAGAATTGCTTCTTCAGGGAAAACACAGCAGAGGAGTGAACCAAGAGCAAAATAATGGGATGGGATGGGATGTGCTGGAGGGGTGGAGCTGTCCTTCAGGCAAAGGGGAGATGCCAGGAACAACCCAACATTTCCAGCACACTCAGGTAGCCACTGGCATTGCTGCCCTGGGACTGCTGCTCAGAGCTGTCTCCTCAAGGTGGGTGCCACCTCTCCCGTGCTCTTCAGAGCCTGTGGTGAAAAGGTTGTAGGGTAAATCACAGTGGTGGTATTTTTCTCTCTCAGTGTCAGGATGATCTGAGCTGCCAGGGAACAGGTGAAGATGCTGGAGTCCTCCAAGCCTTGAAGAACCAAGGTAGAAAGCAGAGATCAAATCCCTGCAGTACTTGCAGAGACCCCAGGCATTCCCTCCTGAGAGGGTCAGCCCATCCAGCTCCTCCCATGGCCAGGAGGGAGCAGGGTGGAGAAGTGAATCTGCTGGAAGCTGCCAGGCCAGGAACACCCCAAATGCCCTTGAAATACCCCAATTCCTCTCTGGTGTACATGGAGTAGAGCTCTCCTCACCGGGGCAGGACTGAGAGCTGGAGCTCACCAGTCCATGGAGGGCCCTGCAAGTGCCTTTCTGCTGAAATCCGGAAAAGGAGCACCTGAGTTACTAAAGGCACAAGAGCAAGAGACATCTTGGACAGGGAGCAATTGAAAAGGATCATGAAGACCATTTGCTGTGCTTCTTTTCCTCCTCAGCTACAATTTCTGAGTGCATTTGGGCTGCTGTTTTTCAACAGCACAGCACCTGGATGTCAGCACTTCATTGGAATCCTCAGGGCTCCCTGACCGATAGGACCAGAGAGAAGAGGACCCCCAGCCGGCTGGGCTGCCCTAGGCAGAGTGCTGCCAGCAAGTGGAGGGAGACGATCCTGCTCCTTCACTCAGCACTACTGAGACACACCTAGAATGCTGGATCCAGTGGTGGACTCCTCAGTACAAGAGAGACATGAACATAACGGAGAGAGTCCAGCAAAGGGATGCTGATGGTGAAGGGACTGGAAGAAAAAGCTCTGATAAGAGGAAAGACTGAGAGACCTGGGACTGTTCAGCTTGGAGAAGAGAAGGCTCAGGCAGGGGAAGCTTATCAGTGTACTAATACGTACCGATGAGGAGGAATGAAGACAAGGGAGCCACATTCTTCTCAGTGGCCAGTGACAGGACAAGAGTTGATGAACACAAGCTGAAACACATGAAATCCCATCCAAACCCAAGAAAGTCCTTGTTTGTGTATGCATGTGTGTGTGTGTAGTGTGTGTGGTATGTGTATGCACTTGTGTGTTTTGTCTTTGTGCTGTGTTGTGTGTAGGAGCATGTGTGTTGTCAGTGTGATGGTGGTTGTGTGTTGTGTGCACAGTGCATGTTTTGTGTGTTGTGTGTGCGTGTGTTGTGGTTTTGTGTGTGTTTTTGTATGTGTGGGGTGGTGGTTCAGGGCTGTGTGTGGTCCCAGCCAGTGCTCAGCTCCGTGGGGGAGCCAGGGGAGCCCAAGAGCAGCCTCAGCCCCAGAGATGTCCCAGATGGGGTCAGAGGCATGTGGGAGAGGGGACTGTGGGGCACATGAGGGTCTATGGGGCAGGTACGGGGGAAGTTGGGGGTACCCAGGGGGTTATAAGGCACACAGGAGGTTGGGAGACATTGTGGGAGCTATGGGGCATCCAGGAAACCAGTGTGACACCCAAAGGGTCAGGGTACTGGGGGAGAGAGTTGGGTATACATCCAGGGGAGGAGAGGGACCCCAGGGGGTTTATGGGACACCCATGGGATTTGTGGAGCACCCAGGAAAGGGGAGTCTATAGGGAACAGGAGAGGTCAGAGGCACCCTAAGGTTTTATGGGATACCCAGGAAGCTGGAAAAACCCAAGGGTTTATGAGTCATATGGTGGGCCACCTTGGACAGGGCTGGGGACACCCAAGGGGGCTCAGGGGCACCCAGAGAGGGGTAGGATCGCAGAGTCCCCCCAGAAGCTGATGCCAGAGCCCAGGCCTGTGGCACTTCCTTTATTGCAGACCCTAATGGTGCCCCCAGCAGGAGAGAGAATCCACGTGCCCACCTACAGCTCCGCCATGTCAAGCCTCACTGGGTGGGTGCATAGGTGCCAGCGAGGTGCACAGGCAGCCCGTTAAGGCAGGTGACACGCACATGGTGCTGGAGCTGCCGGGCCCGGTAGGCGCAAGGGGGCCGGTTGTCCCCCCCCCGCAGGCGGCAGGCTGTGAGGCTCATGGGTGTTGGGGTGCTGTGGACACCCTCCGCGTCAGGCGTCTGGGTGCAGACAGCCACCAGCTCCTCGGCCGGTGAGTGCACGAAGGTGTTGGAGGGCTTGCAGGGCCTCCCTGGGGCCGTCACCCGCCGGCGTGCCAGCATGGTCTCGCAGTAGCGGTGTGCCGCAAGCACGGGTGTCCGGGGGTGGTCCACATGCTGCCGCAGGAACTTCTCATAGCGGCTCTCGCCCACTGCCCCTGCCAGGGCTGCCAGCACCAGGGCCATGCATAGGGCCCAGCCCGCCATGGGCACCTGTGGAAAGTGGGGTCAAGGCCATCTGGACTTCTGGCCCCCGATTGGAAACCCAACCCTGCACACTTGATTCCTCTACAGATTCCCCCTCCCAGACACCTGGGTCCCTTACAAATCCCCTTTAAATGCATGGGGAGCCCCCGCGGACACTGGGGCCATCTGTGGATCCTACCTGGACGCCTGGGTCCCCTACAGAACACCCCATGGACACCTGGGTCCCCTACAGCTCTGCACTCCCCAGAACCCTGGGTCCCCTATGGAACACCCCTCACAACCAGACCTCTGGGTCTCCTATAGATCTATCCCCTGCCCCAACACCTGGCTCCCCTACATATCCTCCCTCCCTCACTGGATGCTCGGGTTCCTCACAGTCCCCTCCCGTAGACACTCTGGTCCCCTACGCGTCCCTCACTCGCACCTGTGTGTGTGTGCGCCTCTGTTTCCCTTATGGCCTCAGCGTCTCCAGGATCCCTCCCACTCCTCTGAGCTTCTTTTATACTGTCCCCAGCTGGGCCCAATGGGCAAAGATCCAAGAGGAGGGGCAGGGCAAAGAGTAAGGTCCAGTGGATGCATGGAGGGAGGCAGGCATCCAGGAGGCCCCACTTCCCCCTGTGGCGCCCCCAAGGTCATTAGGCAGTCATTAACGAACCATGTGGCAGGCTATGCACGTTCCCCCAGGTGGCCCCTGCCCATGTTGCCTTGGACCATGCGTTCTGGCCTGGGCCATGTGCCCCATGTGGGGCAGGACACCTGGGTCCCCTTGGGTGGACGAGCAAGATACCTAGTTTGCTGGGGCCGGGGGGTGGGGGGGTGGGGAGTATGTCAGCATCACCTCTGGGGCAGCTGACAAACACTCCTGCCCCTCTCGGTCGGTGTGCTATGTCCACAGCAGCTCCTCATTGCTTCAGGAGCTCTGTATCCCTTTCCCCTGTGCCCCTTGAAGGCAAGTTTGTACCCTTGGGAAGTTCTGGGATGCATTTTGTCTCACCACTACCTCACATGCTCCCGACTGCTCTGCCGAGGCAGACACAAGCAAAGATCCAGGAGCCAGCCTAAGTCCATCAAACCCCCACCACTTTCCCTCAACCATCAGGGAGAACCTGAGGGAGCCCCAAGGAGAGCGTGTCCCTGTCAGAGGCAGAAGCACACAGTGCCCAGGAGAGGCTGTCATCGCCAGCTGCAAGTGGTGTCCATCTTCGTCTTCAAAGACATGATAGAGACTGTGATGAGAAGCGGCAAATGGAAGATGCAGAACAAAGTGTACAGGATCTCTCAGCTGCCCTTTTTCCACATGACCAACCAAGTTTGACCCCACCGGTGATTCAAGGAACACAATGACACCAGATGCTGACACTTCACGAGTGGGCCTCAGCACTAGGGCCATGGACTGCTGGGAGATGTGTGTCACCATAAGATCTGACCTACTTGTCCCTAAGGAGAGCACAGAGCTGCCCCCCGTCTGTCCCAGGGCCACTGTGTCCTTCAGCCTGGGGTAGGCTTGGTCCTGTGCACCACCTTCCCCCAAAAAGCTAGAAAAGGTCTAAGACTGGACATGATGAAGGTGGAGAGTGCCCTGTCCTGGCCTGTGGTGGCATCACTATGGCTCTGTGGGCCTCTCAAGAAATCCTCCTCAAAGTTGCACAGCCCCTGCAGTGAGAATAGCTCAGGCACCTGGCCAAAACCTCACAGACATGGAAGATCAGCACAGCCCCCTTGCTGACTCTCTGAGGCTGACAAGACCCTGCTCCTGCTGGGCATGGAAGCAGGATGGGGTCTCTCATCACCACCCTCTGGACACACTCTGCCTTCTGCTGTCTTGGTGTGGGTGGAAGGGGATGGTGTCCCCAGGAGAAGGAACAAGCCTCAACAGAAGCCTCCAAAGGAAAATTCCCTGTCCAGATTTAACCTGTAAACCGTGGGCTACTGGCTGCACAGAACCTGCAGGAGGTGACAACTGCCTTTTGGGCTGTTGCTCTGTTTGAGCAGAACCAGAGCAGCAAACCCCATCCCAGGGTGCTCTGCCCGCTGGGGCCCCACAACTGCACAAGTTTGATAGCCAGTGTCATCCCTGGCTGCCTGCAGGACTGCTGCCCCATTCAGACATCTCGAATCCCGTCACTGAGTATCTATCTATGTGTTCAACCAAGGGGCTGCAAGGCCGCACTGTGTGTGCTCCGGGGGCCAAGCTCCTTGCTTGGTGACCCAGGGGTGCACTGTAAGGCACACGGAGGAGGCTGGGATGACCCAGAAAGCTCTGAGGGTGACAGGGGGTTGTGCAGTGAGGTGAGGCTGAGAGAGAGGTACTGCAGGGCTTTCTGAATCTCAGCAAGAAAGGCCTGCCAACAAACAGCTTAAGAGGAGAAAAGCTTTAATATGGTAGAAGCAGAATACAGACCGTGAGAAAACCTTAATGTCTCAAGTAAATCATAGATAGCAAGTAAATCTTACTGACGTCATGGGCCTGTGCCTGTCCAGGTTGACTGTGATTGTGGCTCCCTAGCTGCAAAAAGTGCAGTGGTCTCAGTGGCCAGGATCAGCAAGTTTCACCCCTTGATCCCCAGGCAGCTTGCTCTTCCCAAAGACAGTGTATGTTAGAGATCACAGTAGTAACAGAGCGGCTTCTCCAGTTGGAAGGACAGGGGCAGGGTCACTAACTCCTCAAATAAGCATCTTCCACAAGGCTCCTGATACACTGAGAGGTGCAGGGAGGGTCCTGGAGCACCCTGAAAGGCACACAGAGCCCACTAGGAGGCCTCAAGAGGTACAGAGAGGCCCCAGGGTCACCCCAAAAAACACCAGGAGGGGCCTAGGACGCCATGAAAGGCACAAAGGCCGAAAGTGAGTACTGGAAAGCATGCCAAGGCCTCAGCAGAGGCCTCAGGGTATCCTGCAAGATCCCGTAAGTCCAAAGCCAAAAAGTCCTTGGGGAGGGGATGGGGTGGGGCTGAATAGCACAGATGGGCTCCGTGGGGCCACAAAAGGCACAGAAAGGGCAAACGCTGCCACATTCTGTCCTCTCCATGAGGGCCTGGCAGTAGCCACTGCCTGACACCCTCCTGGTCAGCATAGACCCTGGCCCTGCCATCTCAGGGCAAACGCTGCCATTTTTCTTACCGTGCCCCCGCTCCCCCCCCGCCCTCTAC